TCAGAATTTCCTTCCTTTTTAAGGCTTAATAATATTCCACTGTCTGGATATACATTTTGTTTATCCATTCATCCATCAATGGACCCTTAAGTTGTTTTCACCTTTTGGCCCTCGTGAATAATGCTACACATTGTACACATATCTCTTCAAGTGTCTGCTTCCACTCCTTTTGGGGATATACCCAGAAGTGGGATTGCTGGATGGAACCATTGGATTTTAGTGGCATGGAAGTCATTGGTGACCTTGGCAAGGGCAGTCTGCTTGTAGGTTCAAGAAAGGACAGAAGAGAGTGAAGATAGCAAGTAAAGGTAATTCTTATAAGATATTGGGGAGAAGAATAAAGGGGGCAAAGAACAAGAGAGGCCTATGAGATCAAGAGAGGATTCAGGGAGACTTACAAGAGCAAGTCATTCTGAGAAGAATGATACAGAATTCCAGAGCAGGCAGAAGGGCATGGACCAGCGCACATATAGGGGGCTAACTTTCAATATGAACCGAACTCATCTGTGTCAACAGGAAGGAAAAAAGAGCACGTGGATGTCAGTGCTGGCAAGATGGAGGACTTCGGTGGAGGAAAAGATAAGGAAGTTATCCTATCCTTGATGAACTAGGAGCAGAGGGAGTAGGAGAGTTTACTGAGGAAGGAAAGTCAGATTTCCAGGCCTGCTGAGGGCCCACTTGAGGTCGTGGTCAAATTTTTAAAAGCCCACTTCGTAGGGCTGTGTTTTGCTCCTGCCACAGTCATTTCCAGTGTAAGAAATGAATAAGTGAGAGCCCTAGTTTACCAAGGCTGGGTTCTGGAGTAATTACAAAATCTAAACAGGGGAAGTAAGGACAAGAAGAGGGTGATGACCAAGGGAAGTTGCTAGTAGTGTTGAAGAACTGATGGGAGGGGAGGCCTATGGGAAATTAGGTTAATGTCCAGATATGTTCACACACACACACACACACACACACACACACACACACACACACACAATTGGCTCTGTGGGTACAGTACACTGCCTCACCCTTTGACTTGGGCTTAACCATGTGACTTGCTTTGGCCAATGAAATATTAGTGGGCATGATATGAACAAAGGCTTGAAAACTCACTTGTGCAATTTGAATTGCAATCCCAATTTCCTGAGAAAGGAAAACCAGGTTTCCTTTTCTTGCATTCTTGCACTTTTGCCATTATTATGAGCTAGCCATCACCATGGGTCCTGTGTATCTTAATGTCACTTAAAAGTAATATCATTAGATAGTAACTCCCAGGAAGTAAAACCCAAAAGGAATAGTTAACTTCATCAGTATTTATATTTGAAAATTACAAAACAGGTCTCCAGAGTAGAACTGGGGACACTTCCATGCAGATTTTTACATATGGAAACATGTTAGATACATGTAATTTAACTACCAGCTTATTTTTAGACTACAGAATAGAACAAAGCAGAAAATCAGCTCAAAAACACTGTGTTTATAACCAATATTTAAATAAATAACCTCCTTCCCATCATCAAAGTATATTAATTTTTATGACTTACCTTATATATTTAATAAAGAGATGTAACTATATAGTAAAGTTACTATATTGAAAGTATTCACCATTGGGTACAAACACAGGAGGGATTTAAGCAGGAGAGTTTTGACAGGAGAGTAAAGGAGTTTGAGCTAAAAGATTGAGAATTTGTATCTACTAGTGTCTAATGGTTTCCTGACGCTCAAGATCTGATTCCTAAGAGTAAGCACAAACTGGTTTTGAAGATCTGAGATGAAGGGAATAAGAATTTTCAAGGAAAACAAGTTTTCAATTAGCATTTAGAACTCATTTTTAAAGTGTTCCCCTTGAGTTTCAAGCACGATAGGCAAATACGGGTTAAAAACAAATGAAAAAACTTGAGGTTCTGAGCCCTATTTTAAAAATTCATAATCATAAGACTACAATGAATTCAGTAAAATTACAGGATACAAAATTAATGTTCAGAAATCTGTCTCATTTCTATGCACTAACAACAAACTGTCAGAAAGAGAAATTAAGAAAACTATCCCATTTACAGCTGTATCAAAAAGAATAAAATACCTAGGAATAAATCTAACTAAGGAGACAAAAAGCCTGTGCTTAGAAAACTATAAGACACTGATGAAAGAAACTGAAGATAACACAAACAGGTGGAAAGATATACCATATTCATGAACTGGAAGAATTAATATTGCTAAAATGACCATACTACCCAAGGCAATCTATAAATTCAATGGAATCCCTATAAAATACCAATGGCGTTCTTCACAGAACTAGGACAGATAATTCTAAAATTTGTGTGGAAACACTAAAGACCCAAAATAGCCAAAACAATCTTGAGAAAGAACAAAGCTGGAAGCACCATGCTCCCTGATTTCAAACTATACTAAGAAGCTACAGTAATCAAAACAGTATATCACAAAAACAGACATATAGATCAATGGAACAGAACAGAAGCCCAGAAATGAACCCACACCTATCCAGGTAGTTAATATACAACAAAGGAGGTAAGAACATACAATGGGGAAAACACAGCCTCTTCAATAAATGGTGTTGGGAAAATTGGACAGCTACATGCCAAAGAATCAAACTGGACTACTCTCTCACACCATGCATAAAAATAAATTCAAAATGGATTAAAGAGTTAAATGTAAGACCTGAAAGCATAAAACTTCTAGAAGAAAACAGGCAGTAAGCTCTTTGGTATTGGTTTCGGTAATATTTTTTTCGATCTGTCTCCTCAGGCAAGGGAAACAAAAACAATAATAAATAAAATGAGACTACATCAAACTAACAAGTTTTTGCACAGCTAAGGAAACTATCAACAAAACAAAAAGGCCCTACTCAATGGGAGAAGATATTTGTAAATGATCTATCTGATAAGCAGTTAATATCCAAAATATACAAAGAACTTACATAGCTCAATGTCAAAAAAACAAACAACTTGATTTAAAAATGAGCAAAGGACCTGAATAGACATTTTTCCAAAGAAGACATACAGATGGCAATCAGGCACATGAAAAAATGCTCAACATCACTAATTATCTGGGAAATTCAAATCCAAACCACAATGAGATACACTTGTCAGCATGGCTAATGTCAAAAAGACAACAAATAACAAGTGTTGGCAAGGATGTGGAGAAAAGGGAACCTTCGTGCAGTTGATGGGAATGCAAATTGGTGCAGCCACTATGGAAAATGGTATGGAGATTCCTCAAAACTTTTTTAAAAGATTACCATATGATCCAGCAATTCCCCTCGTGTGTATTTATCTGAAGAAAATAAAAACACTAATTCAAAAAGATATATACACCCCTATGTTAACTGCAGCATTATTTACAATAGCCAAGATATGGAAACAACCTAAGTGCCCATCAACAGACGAATGGATAAAAAGATGTGATATATAATGGAATATTACTCAATCATAAAAAAGAATAGCGTCTTGCCATCTGCAACAGCACAGATGGACCTAGAGGGTATTATGCTAAGTGAAATAAGTCAGACAGAGAAAGACAAATTCTGCACGATTTCATTTACATGTGGCATCTAAAAACCAAAACGAACAATCATAACAAATTTCCCAGAGGAGAGGGTGGTAGGGGGAGGAAAGAAACAGGTGAGGGAGATTAAGAGGTACAAACTTCCAGTTGCAAAATAAATGAGTCATAGGTATGAAATGTACAGTGTGGGGAATATAGTCAATAACTATGTAATATTGTTGTATGGTATTATACATATCATAACCAGACTTATAGCGGTGATCATTTTTAAATGTACAGAAATACTGAATCACTACGTTGTATAACAGGAACTAACATCGTGTTGTAGGTTATTTATACTTCATCAACAAACTCAGAAAAAGAGATCAGGAACTTCCCTGGTGGCACAGTGGTTAAGAATCCACCTGCCAACGCAGGGGATCCGGAAAGATCCCACATGCTGCAGAGCACCTAAGCCCGTGCGCCACAGCTACTGAGCCTGCGCTCTAGAGCCCGCGAGCCACAACTGCTGAGCCCGTGTGCCACAACTACTGAAGCCCACGCGCCTAGAGCCCACGCTCCACGACAAGAGAAGCCACGGCAATGAGGAGCCCGCACACAGCAACAAAGAGTAGTCCCCACTCGCCGCAACTAGAGAAAGCCCGCATGCAGCAACAAAGACCCAACGCAGCCAAAATTAATTAATTAATTATTTTAAAAAAAGAAAAAGAGATCAGATTTGTGGTTACTATCAGGTGGGGGTAGGGGAGAGGGGAACTGGAAAAATGCAGTCAAAAGGTACAAATTTCTAGTTATAAGATAAATAAGTACTGGAGATGTCATGTACAATAAATATCATTAATGCTACTGTGTGTTACATATGAAAATTGTTGAGAGTAAATCCTAAGCGTTCTCATAACATGAAAAAAATTTTTTTCCAGTTCTTTAATGTCGTACAGTATCTATATGAGATGATTAATGTTAACTAAACTTATTTTTTTTGTTTGGCCGCAACATGCAGCTCGTGGAATCTTAGCTCCCCAACCAGGGATCGAACCTGGGCCCCTGGCAGTGAGAGGACTGGGTCCTAAACACTGGACCACCAGGGCATTCCTATTAACTAAACTTATTGTGATAATCATTTCATGATGTATGTGAGTCAAATTTATACAGTGCTGTATGCCAATTATATATCAATAAAACTGGGAAGAAAAAAGGAAAAATTTTTTTTAATTAAAACTCATAATTAGATAAAGAAGTGAGCTAATGAACAAGAGATCTAAGCAATTTTCAAAGCTGGGAAATTTGCTGTTTTCCCAATAGACTAAGTTCTGGTCCCCTGTATCTCAGAGGCTATGTCTAAAGGCTACTGGTTTAAACAAATAACATACTACCCTCGTGAGGTTGATATTTTCAATTATACGGGTAAGTATCTGATAACAGATGACACTCAGATTCAGAGTCTTGAGACATTCCAAGTTATATATGGAGCCTAAAGAAACCAAATACCAGTCTTCTATTTTTATTTACAGATTATTTTATTGTAAAAAGATAAGCAATTACAGATCAGCCTGTTGCAAAATCAATACTATATTAGCATAAATGTAATTCCAAGTTTTAAAAACTCTGATCAGTTCCAAGCAGGAATAAACATTAAGCCATGATGGTACTGAAGTTATTTTCAAAAGACACCACATTGTGCTTCCTATAAGGAACTTAGAAAAATTTAAATTTCTGAGTGGATTATCTTTATCTTTTCTTCTTATATAATTACAGCCATATTTTTATATAACAGGCCATGATATGATATGTAAACATATTAATTTCACCAAGATTTTTTCATATCAAATAAAATCGTATTTCTGCTAGAAACTTTCATTCTAGTCATTTTAAGTAAATAATCAGCTGTCAAAAGCAAATACACGTTTCTTTCAAATGATTGTTAAGCTCTAACGTTCACTTACCCCTAGGAAGATAGCATTAAAAGCCATTATTACGTTATTCGCTGTAGAAAGCTGGGATTATCATTTTACAGACATAAACTTGCATTTGTATGTCTGGCGCAGGAGAATCTTCCATCCAGCGATGAGTGGGCATGTGTGTCAACATTATGCTTTGCTTCATAGGCGGACGGACGACCCTCACAGATTAGCTTTCTCCCTTGCAGCCAAGTGAGACCCAGGATTTACATAGGTGTGAATCGCGCTCTGTTTCGAAAGACCAAGACCAGCAGGTTACTTAACTCACTTGGGCAGCAACTCAGTATTTATCTTAGCTTTAATCTGTGCTCAAATGAAAATAAGCATTCAGAATTTGTTCACCTTCGACTGTCTTATACTGCCCAGGGCTAAAACAAGGAGCATGTGCTTTCCAGGTGAGTTCTTTATATCTCAAATGAGATTCTGAACAGCTGCTTAAGAAACGGAATAGCTGTCCCTGAGGAGAATCATCATAAAAGGAAACCCAACTACGCCCATCCACGACACGCCCCCTCTGCCACAGCCAGGATGCTCTGGGCTCACCTTAGGTTTCTCAACGTTGTATTTATCCAAAAGAGCCTGGATGCGGGCCCCATAGTCAGGATGGACATCGCTGAAGTTCTTAACCTGTAACCAGGTGAAAATAATGTAAACATTAGCCTAGCCCTCACTACACCAGTCCCCAGAGTCCGCCTCACAGGGTCGACTCCAGAGGGGAGGACGGACGCTTCCACGGGAGGCAGAACCACACAGCATTTACCGACACGGAGGAAGGCTTGCGTCCTGGACATATACTGGCTGAGCAACCTTGCCTAAGTCACTCATCTGAGCTTCAGTACCCACTCCTCATGAAATCAGTGAGATACCTAAATCTACCTCATACAGTTCATATCCGCTCCCCAGAAAAATAAGTGGGATGAGTAAATCTACCTCGTGGAGTACCGTGAGGAAAACGCGCTATGAGGTGAGCTCCATTTACAGCAGGTAAAGAGCTGACCTCGGAGGAACGCAAAAAGTTACAGCGATTTGCATTAAGAAACAGGCCCAGACACTGCCTGAATTTAAAGTGAGATGTACAAACACTGGCCCCTGCTGGGCAACTAAGCATACTTCAAGCAGGAATTCCTGACCGCGGGCTGATCCTGAGGTGGGGCATCAAGAACCCACAGGGGGCCTTGCAGCTTCAGCATATGTGAGAGGAGAAGGCCAAGGGGTCAAGCCCAGTTCTCTACTTACAAACGGTCTTATTCATTCTTATCAGTGAGATGAGAAAATACCCACACCACCTATCTCACAGAGCGACCGTCAGGCTCTCTGCCCCAGACAGCAAGAACTACTAGCGCCCAGGGACTTAAAGGGTTATCTTTCATACACGCCCTGGTGAAACACAGTTATAGAACCTTGCCTGCAGATAGAGCACCCAGCCTGCTGGTACATATCTCCGGGCCTTAGAACACATCCCAGACAGCTGCCCCCATGAACAGAGAAGCGGCAACCAAGAGACAAAGAAATAGCCGGGGTTCCTACATCTACAAGAGGCTAACTCCCCTGCGGCAGGCCGGGAGACCACAGCAGAGCACACAACACAATGAGCGACCATCAGAAATACCCTGGTGCCTCAGCTCAAAAGTTCAGCCTGAGTCTTTGGAAGCAGCTCAGTTCTGACCCCAGAAAACGTGCAAGTTTCTAGTTTCTTCCGAAGGAGGGTCAGGCATCACAACATCAAGTAGTCAGACTGACTTCAAATCGCAAAAATGTAATCTGTATTTCTTATCACCTGAAGTCTAAGCAAAATTGTGGCAGGACCCACATTTTGACATTGGACATTACTCTCCTACACAGAACTTGGCTGCAGTCAGACTGAACAGCATAGGAGACCATTCACCCTAAACTCAACTAAATTATTATACACTGGACAAAGAGCTAAGGATCAATGGATATAGCATATATACTGGAGGTAAAACACAGAGAGAAAAGAATCAGAGGTTGATTGGGGATTCATACTAGTTTTTTTAAGTGTGCTTAGCTCAAGTGAAATAGAAATGACACTTCCATGGAAGGGTTTTCTCACACAGCTGCACTCTCTTCTCCTGCCAGCAGGTGTCACCCTTCGGCTTACAAAGTATCGCTCACCGCTTTCTTCTGGATAAAAAGTTGTGCATCTTTCAGATGGCCCGCTATGTTCTCACACAGGCGTTTCCTCTGCTCCTCATTCAGTACGTTCAAATAGAAAGCCCGCACCTGCTCATTGAAAATAGAGTGCAGGGAATCAAATAACCACTTGAGCACCAACAAAACTCACCCAAACACCACTTTTGAAATGAAGATGCAAGATTTCTCATTGGTATAAGAATGAAAAAAGGTTTTAGAATTTAAGAATAATTTAAAATTATAGTTGAAACTGTCATGTGTTGAGTTCCTCACTTTTTATTTTATTTTAAGCAAAACAGGAAGATAATAGCTCATAACTTCTTTTTAATAATGTCCTTTGCAGCCACTGCTTATAAATCTCTTATAAATAGAAGGCAGTGTTGCCTACAATTAAAAATGCCACCACACCTTAATACTGACAAGTGCAGAATGTGCAAACCGTCATTAAATGTAAGCTTAACGCAATACAACCTTTGTTCAATTCACCCAGAACCAAAGGGGAGGAAAACACCCTAACTTATTAATTAGGTCTTTAGTTATTCAGAAGCCAAGATTTCTTGGAGAAAACAGATGTTAATAGTGGTATTTTGCTTAGATTATTGGGTTTAACCTCTAAAATGACTATCAAGAAGTTAAAATAAAAAGTAAGAGCTTAGTATTAAGTATATGAGTCCTAACAGCCTCTGCTCATTTCTGAAATTAACCATTTCTAAGTTATGGCTATGATTCTATTCTACATTTCTTTCATTCACTCATTGAGCAAATACTTATTTCTCATGTACCTATAACACACCAGGCACTACTCTATGTACTGTTCTACTAATGTTTATAAAGTCCAAAAATATCCAGTTATCCAAAGTAGCAAATTCATAAAATATCAAATATTCATAATTTTTCTGTTATCAAATATCAGAATATAATAATATTTCTTAAAATCTGAGCAAAGTCTAAATATAAGGGACTTCCCTGGTGGCGCAGTGGTTAAGAATCCGCCTGCCAAGGCAGGGGACACGAGTTCAAGCCCTGGTCTGGGAAGATCCCACATGCCGCAGAGCAACTAAGCCTGTGCGCCAAAACTACTGAGCCTGCGCTCTAGAGCCCACAAGCCACAACTACTGAAGCCCGCGAGCCACAACTACTGAAGCCCATGCACCTAAAGCCCGTGCTCTGCAACAAGAGAAGCCACCGCAATAAGAAGTCTGCACACCACAGCGAAGTGTGGCCCCCGCTCGCTGCAACTAGAGAAATGAGACGGGGTCTTCTCATTGTGGTGGCTTCTCTCATTACAGAGCATAGGTTCTAGGTGCTTTACCCACTCCAACACTTTTACCACAGACCTTTAAGAGCAGGACCAAATTCCTCTAAAAGGAAAAGTGACATTTTTACTAGTCTATACAAAGTTAGAGAATGATTTTTTTCTTTTTAGGTGTAACATGCCTACAGTAAAGGGTACTAAACATAAGTGTGAAGTTCAATGATTTTTCAGTGGACACAAATGTGTCACAACCACCCAGATCAAGAGAGAACATCACTCACACCCCAGAAGTCCCCCTACCATACTCCCCCACCCAGTCATTATCCCCTTTCTCCAACTGCCTCCCCAAGGGCGAATTTTTTTGACTTCTAATATTATAAACATTTTTTACTTCTCTTTCAAATGTACACAAATGGAATCATACAGTCTATATCCTTGTTCTTTTGCTCAATGTCATGTTAGTAAGGTTCATCTATGGTAATGTTTGTTGGAATACTTCTTTAATTTTCATTGCTGTACACTGTGGGAATATACTACGGTTTATTTATCCAAGCTTTTGTTGATGAACATTGGGTAATATGAATAAACAGTGCTGTACATGTCTTCTGCTGCTCATATGTACACATTTCTATTAAGAATCTATGTAAGAAAAAAAAAGAATCTATGTAAGAGTGCACTTACTAGGTCAAAAGACACGTACATGTTTACCTTCAGTGGATATTGACAAACAGTTCTCCAAAACACCTGAACCAATCTACACTCAGGTAAGAGTTAGAGTTGTTTCTCATTCTCGCAATACTTGGTACACAGTCTTTTTCAGTCTAGTCATTCTGGTGTGTATGTAGTGGTATCTCTTTTTAGTTTTATTTTGCATATCCCCGATGACTAGTGAGATAAACTACTCTGTGTGTTTTTCAGTCATTTGGATATTTTCTTTTGTGAAGTGCCTGTTCAAGTCTTTTGCCCATTTTTCTATTCATTTGTCTGTCGTTTTCTTATTGCTCTGCAGGAGTTCTTTACATGTACTGTATATGAGTTGTTTGTTAGTTAGAGGAACCGCTAATATATTGTCCCACTCTGTGGTTTGCCTTCTCAATCACTAATTGGTTTCTCATAAGAAAGAGAAGTTCTTTTGCTCTCTCTTCATGACTGAGTCTGATAACATCTATTGCTCTATCTGCCAATTCAGTAATCTTCTCTTCGGCCATATTTAATCTCCTTTTAAGCTCATTTACTAAATGCTTAACTTTAGTTGTTGCATTTTCCAGTTCAGTATGTCCATTCAATTCTTTTTCATTTTAATTTAATTTAATTTTATTTTATTGGCCGCATTGCACGGCATGCAGGATCTTAGTTCCCCAACTAGGGATGGAACCTGTGCCCCCTGAGTGGAAGCACAAAGTCTTAACCACTGGACCACCAAGGAAGTCCCCTCCATTCTTTTTTGACAGATTCAAGTTCTCTTATTAAATTCTCCATGTTGTCAACTGTTTTCTGTTTTCCTGAACATATTTGCAGTTATTTTAAAACCTATATCTGACAATTCCACTATCTGGATCTTCAGTAGGTTTGTTTCTATTGCCAGTTGTGTTTTTTTATCCCCCTCTTGCTTTTTAGGTATAAGGTCTTATGTGTTGGGTATGCCTGATAATTTATTACTGAATGCTGGGCATTTGCATATGAAAAAATACAGAGATAATTTGAGGCTCTATTTTCCTCCAAAGCCTTATGTTTGCTTCTGGAAGAGAGGATAGAGGGAGATCATCTTAATCCAGTCTGAGATTGGACTGGTATAAAACTGAGTCTCATTTTTTGTAAAGGCAAGTTGATTTCAGGTTTGCCCTTATTTCTAGGACGGCCCTTCAGGGATCCAACTGAGTGCCTGGGATGTTAACTAGAGGCCCTCTTCCTTAGCAGGTCCTGAACTCCAATTTTTATTCCCTCCAGACCCATGAAAACACTGTAAACTCTGCTCAGCATGTTGGCCAATACTTACAAAGTAATAAATGCCTCATGAGAAAAGAAGAACAAATATCAAGCTCATATCTCTGCACTTCTTTTCTGTTCAAAATCTTGGCCCCTCAAATTCTTGCTGCTTTTATAGCTCTCCACAGCCTTTTTGTATCTTATCTAGCTTTCCAATGTTCTCCATGAGAGGACAGGTCTGACACAAGCTTGTCTGTCATAAGCCAGAAGCATGAGTCCACGTGAATCATTTTTAAGAGTATAAACCTGGATCTTCCTATTTATATTCCATGTGACTCTTACAGTTACAGGATTATGCTATGAAGCTATAAACAGAATCTTGACTGCTTAAAAACTTGAGTTCTATATAGTGATAAGAAAATCTCTCAAAATAAGAATGATCATACAGTAAATTTTAATGTGTGAGCAACAGCCTCATTATCTAAATTAATTTTTACAGAGGTTGTATTAGCTAGCTTAACACTGGAATAGACTTCAGGTAGGTAAAATTTTATGAGAAGGAGGAATTGTATTGTAATATATTGATACTTGGTAACCTACATCACCAAGAATAAGGCAGTTACTATAAAAGGCTTTTAGGAGACATTTAATTTCATCTAAAAATGGTTTATAAGGTACAATAAAGTAATTTCTTTTTTATATACTTGTATACACGTAAGGGCCTTTCAAATAACGGTATCTTCATAGTGAATTAATTTATGTATTTAAGTATATTTTACTGGGAACACACATTTACAAATTGAAAAGCTAGAATAGGTCCCATTCTAATTTAAATATTGTTTAACACCAACTACCCAAGCAGAGATCTAAGACAACTATACTTTTTAACTTTATCCTTTTCTTACGTGTGGTATAAGTTGCACTGGGCACATTAATGAGGTGGCTGCTCTTCAGAGTCAAAGGGCCTCTTCCATGGCATCTACTAAAAGAACAGCCCCCAGGCAGCCATAGGTGATTAGAAAGAGGGTGGGCACTTGACCCCGGGCAGTTAACTAGAGGCTGGCCAAAGGCCAATGATGCAACCCACAGTGAAAACATTAGTCCATTCAATCCAATTTCCTCTCTCCAGAATCTGACTGTAGAAGTATTGAGAGAAGGAGTAAAAAAGGACCAAAAAAAAAAAGTAATACATGGAGAAAGAAGCCATAAAGAAGAAGAGTTAGGCCATGGTCATAGCAAAACCACAGCAATGTTAAAACACAAGCTATGAGGCAAAGAGGAGAAAAATAGGGAAGGACATGGTAAGAATGAGTAATTGGTATTGGAGAGCAACAGCAGACAGATGGAGAGTAGCTGAGTCACATGAATGGGGTGCCGTGCAGTGGAAACACCCACACCTTTGCTACTGGGCCTCCTAGTGCTATTTTGAATCCAGTTCTAGTCCCTTAAATCTGGACTGCCCTTCTCAGATTCTTAGATTCAGCTGTACTTAAGCTTTACTTGCCCATTTCTTAGATTTCCACGAGATCACTGCTTCCCCAATGGCTCCCACTTACATCCCGTCAATAAAATTTGGAGGAATTGAAATGAGTCTCCATACCTTGGACTAAAAGGGCATAGTAACACAACTCTTCAACTCCATTTAATACAGGCATTGATTTATGAATAGAGATGCTGCCCCTGAATTCAAGTTAAGGCATATTAGACACTCTAAACAGGGGAATATATGCAGACATTGACAAGAAGAATAACAAAGCAACTCGCACCGCAGACAAAGGAGCCATTACCTGAGTGACATTATCATCGCTGGCACTGTTGAAGCGCTGCACATCCCCAGAACAGTGGGTCCTGTGTTCCAGGGCAGAAAGCTGCTGCTCCGGAGCACCAAAGCTGTTGGGGTAATAATTTGGAGCTCCACCTTTAACAGAAAACCACACAGACTCACTCGGGGAGATGAAACATGAAGGAAGTCTACAAACAGCCAACAAAATAAGAAATAAATTCAAGTGACAATTATATTTATACATACGTGCATACACACACATACACATGCCATGCACATATCATTTTTAACACCCCATATTTAGCTACAGGCAGTACTTGGATTCTTAGAGAATATGCCATCTGCCAAACGCTTGCGGTGGCTGTCTCACTCTGCGTCTTAACGAAGAGATCTCAAATTCCCTTTGAACACTTCAGACGGCCTCATCTCTACAATCTCCTGATGCCTTCCGGTACGAATATATTTATATGAGCTTGGTTTGGTCCCCATAGAAGAAGAGACTCAAAGACATATTTCAGGTTGGAGGGTTTCACTGGGGCTTGGGCTCAGTTCAAAAACAGAATCACAGGGCTTCCCTGGTGGCGCAGTGGTTGAGAGTACGCCTGCCGATGCAGGGGACGCGGGTTCATGCTCCGGTCCGGGAAGATCCCACATGCCACGGCGTGGCTAGGCCCGTGAGCCATGGCCGCTGAGCCTGCGTGTCCGGAGCCTGTGCTCCGCAACGAGAGAGGTCACAACAGTGAGAGGCCCGTGTAACGCAAAAAAACAAACAAACAAACAAACAAAAAAACAGAATCACAGAATTCTTGGGAGCAACTCAAAGTTCTAGCTCTGCTCCAGCTCTGCTCCTTCAATCGCCAGACAAATGAACAGAGCCCTGAGATGTTCACTGAGTGCTGCAGGGTGATGTGGTGGTCAGTGGTGGATCCGGGATCTGGGATTTTTGTCCTCTCCATTCCAGCACGTACTACACTCCTATCACAGGATTCTACTTCACTATTTATTTCTTAATGGTGTTTTAAGATTCTCGGGATATCTATCCTTCCTATTGACCAAGACTTTATTCAGTTCTAGTTTCACTTTCACTTCTCTCTACAGATAAATTTTTAAAAATTTTTTCTAAAATTTGATATTTCTAGTATGTCAGCACCCATTCATCTGGAATTAGGAAAAATAATGACAATGCGATCAAAACATTTATTAAGATTTCTGGAGTAAGTTATGAGGCTCTTTTTTCCTTTTGGCATGTTCATTTTCCCAACTATACCCTGCTTCGGCTGATGTTAGCAGAAGCTTGCATTACCTGAGTACGTGCTGCCTAAACAGAAAGGATGGCCTGGAAGCACAGTAAGTGGTTTGAACAAACCAGTCAGGATTAGAAGTTTACCCAGCTCACTGCCAGAATAGATTATTCTGGGTGGATAAGCAGGAGATGCCTGTACATCACATTGACGAAGGAGCCAAATGCATGTAGGAAGAGAGGGGGCACCCGACTACCATGGAGCCCAGTTATCCACCTAAGAAATTCATTCCAGCTCAGCCACGTCCATGCGAAAAGCAAAGTGCTCCAATAACGAGCCATCACAGTGGTTTTCTGCACTAAGAATTAGCTCTTTGAAATGTGCCAATTGAGTAATTTTAAAATTTGATTTCCAAATTATCTCTCCCTTTACTCAAAGTCGCAGCTGTCTTCAAGTCATTGACTACTGGGAACAATTAAGCTCTTTCATCAAACTGCAAGGGCACAGCCCAAATGGTCTACTTTTAAAATTAGGCAAAAGGTGTGTCAAAGTAGTGTTTTTCATACATATGCCACTATAATAGTAAACGAGAATGGTAAACACAAAGCATTTACTTATTAATGACGTTCCAAAATACACATGAACTGCTCTGATACAGCCAGTCTCAATAATGAAAGGACCGAGGGAGATTAATGAAAAAAAATCACTTTAGAATAAAAACGCAGAAGACAGACACAGAAGTATCCGTTACTTTGGGCAATAACACGCTCCATACCTTTGTAAACCTCAAAGAGCAGAAATATGGCAACAACACAATACAATCATTCAGTGAGCATGTAAACTTGCTAAATACTTGGAAAAGGCTTAATGATAATGGTAACAAAATGCAAGGCACAAAGCTATATATACAAACTAATCTTAAATGTATAACAAGTATTCACAGAAAAGACTGGAAAGAAATACAGCAAAATGCAACAGTTCTGGCCTTTGGATACTGTGACTATATATGGGTTTTTCTTCTTTCTTCTCTTCTTTCCCTTATATTTTCCGAATTTCCTTTAAGGTACATGTATTATTTTTAGCATAGAAAAATAAACTTTGTTTGAATATAGACATCTATGGCTATAAATATAAATCATCAGTAAAATTTCTGAAGGGATCATGTGTCCTTCAGACACATGTAATATGGCATGTGTATGGCAACTCTTGGCTTTTGCATTTCCAAGAGGCTAAGTCCTGGTGACTTAAGAGTGATTTCAGGAATCGTCCACTTTGTGAAGAGTCTTTAAAACCCGCTCCCTAAGTTGGATGATACCCTACAACAGCCAGTGTGGAAAAACCTTTCTCCCTGCCTTTCATAGTCAGATGCACAGCAAGCAAAATCTGAGGAGGGAACTCTCCATAAAACATATAAAATAGATGGAAGTATGGAGAGTCCTCAGGCAGTTTAAACCTTCATTGATGGGCAACAAATAGGAGGTTGGCAGGAGCAGCTGCGGGGCCTCCACAGAGCAGCAGATGCCTGGGGCAGCCTGACGACCCCTGGGCTGGCGGGGCCTCCCGTGCCCTGCCCAGCAGTGCCCTCCACACCTGCGGGGTGAGCCACGGTCCCAGGCCTACCCTGATTGTCCAGCACGCACATGGGGCCGTCACGTTGGTAGCTGGCCACTCGAGCTCGGAAGGGACAGTTCACAGGTATCTGAAGATAGTTGGGTCCCAGGCGGTGGCGGTGAGTGTCGGGATAGGCAAAAAGGCGGCCCTGCAGTTACAAATGAAACAGACTTTGATGGTGTGCAGTAACATACGAAAGAGGAGTGGCCCGTGAACATCACTGTAAAGCTTCAAGCACAAAGCATCACAAAGCCCTGCCTGTCCTCCCAGTAAAGAGCAAAGTCTCTTCTCTCTCATGAAATGAGTTCTCCCTAACTGAACGGTCCTTACTCTTCCACCCCTTGGGGCCAAACAGCCACAAATCTTCACATCTGTTCTAGGTCATAACTCCTTTTTTCCTCAAGTAACAAGTTAGTGCCCAGGCTTGAATGATTTCCTATTCCCAAGGACACATTACATTGTGAAATAAGTTTGCTAGAACCCAACTAACTGGAATCATGAACTAATTCCACTCCTCCCTACTCTCTCACTCTAGGGGAGGGGTCAACCATTTGCTCTTAACAAAAAGAAGATTTCTACAAAACCAACCGTACGGGAAATCATTCCGAAAAAGCACCTCCCATGTTGCATTCTGGTGTATGTCAGATACACTTTGAGCTCTGAGACTTCCTAGATTTAAACAAAATACTACACAAAGAAAGCCACAGTGCAAAACGATGGCCCTACATTGCCACAAGGTCCTGAGTCAAAGATTAAATTACATATTTACCAAGGCAGGAGGTTTTGCCTCACACATATTTACCAAGGCAGGAGGTTTTGTAATTTCTTTCAGTTAGTGTTGAAACAAAAAGCTTTATGATTAACTCCCCATCAATCTTAGTATCCAATTATTTAAATATTCCCATTATTCAAAGCTCTATTACATAAGCAGAGAGAGTAGGAGTAGTTTTCTTTCATTACCTTCATTACTGGCCTTGAATCTGAATGAGTATTCTTATGTCCCTAATTCTATGGGCCAAAATACAAACCAAGTTGAACAGGACAACTGATGTGATTATTTTGTACCAAATCACGGAGGCCAACGTGCTCAATCCCGTCTCGCCATTCTGTCGATAATTTGCTCTGGGCTGAGCGACCCTGCCTCCCATAATCATTTCAGATAGCCCCTAAGGTAACGTTCAGATGACTGGTCATGCAGCCATGCCCAAGACCACCTACACTATGGAAGCTGGTTGCCTCCTTTTACCCAAAACAGACTAACTTGTGCTCTAACTTTACCAACAGGACAGAAGATACAGCTGAGCCAAGAGCAGCTCCTGGATATAGCCTCATCGTGTAATTCTGGTCTTGTGTCACCTTAGGTTTATAAGGCATCACTACCCCACCTGTAGGTGGAGGCCTTCAAAGCTAAGGCTGCGAAATGGGCACAGCAAGGCCATACCCTGACCCCAGCTTGAATGCAGTCCTTACCCAAGGCCCTGTGCCCAAGCTCCTTGCTGGGCCAGGGTGAGAAAGCAGAGCAAAGCTCTCCCACTCAATCAGTCAGGCCAACTTCTCCTCTCCCAGTAAACTGCAGAGTGTGGGAGTGAAGAACGGCTGCACCTGCATCACCAGGTACTCAGGGGACAGTCTCTGTGACTTGCTATTATACTACTGCCTGCTTTTCACCATGGTCTGGCTTACACTTTGGATCCCAAAGTTTTAAAAGTTAATAATCTGACCTGGTTGAAAGGCAACTGAGAACACTGTTCGTTACTGTACAACCACTACCACCTGAACATGCATTAGTTCTCATCAGGGTAATTTCCAAGCCCTCCGAACAGGCTCTCCACTTCCAATCCCTCCTCCAACGACATCCTACATATTCCTGCCGAAAGACTCCTCCTAAGGTCCCATGCGGATTCTATTACATACCTACTCAAAATAGCTTGGACAATTCCTCACTGGTCACCAAATGGCTAAGTAAGTACAACAGTCCTTCCCTATTGTATGGCCTCCTATTTTAGCAGCCAGGACAGTCTATCAATAGATAGGTATTCAATTTATAGTAAACTAAAAACTAACATAAACTTACTTTCTATAAAAGGTTCAAATGTTCCCAATGTCAAAGCAAAAAGTTATTAGTTAAAAAACAAAGGAAACAGCTTGCCTCCATAGAGAGTGACACCTGAACTAGAATCAGACACTTACATAAGAAAACAGCTGTCAGTCACTGTGGTCTTTAAACTTTGTATCATGGTCAGTCCAAGAACATGAAAGATTGATTTACTCAATAATTATTAAGCCAGTTATTTTCCTATTAATTTCTGATCCAAATAAGAGTTTTTCTCTCTTTGTACTCCTGAAAAAGCATACTGGTGAGTGGTGAAAAAATACTGAATGCCTAGGAACATTACCAAAACAAATGGTTACATTAACTCACTGGCTTTAATCAATGGAAACATAAATTGAGTTTGTAAAAATCATCTCTGGGGGGCTTCCCTGGTGGCACAGTGGTTGAGACTCCGCCTGCCAATGCAGGGGACACGGGTTCGTGCCCCGGTCCGGGAAGATCCCACATGCCGCGGAGCGGCTGGGTCCGTGAGTCATGGCCGCTGAGCCTGCGCGTCCGGAGCCTGTGCTCCACAATGGGAGAGGCCACAGCAGTGAGAGGTCCGCGTACCGCAAAAAAAAAAAAAAAAAAAAATCATCTCTGGGTCTCTTTCTACATGTGGCAAAATTCAAGCATCACCATAGAAGAGGAAATGAATAAAGTTATGCTGACCAAGTGTTACAATCAATTAGTGACAGTCCTCCATCCCACTGATTACAAATTGAAAAAGAATATTTTACCCCACAAATACCTAAGGTATTTCTACTATAACTTCTTTTAAATTAAGAGCCTAAATGTCAAAGTCTTACCATATTGAGGGACCTACAATGAAATTTGTTTTACACTGTAATGCTCATTTAAGGATGTTTCAGTCAGTCCCACAGGAACTAAGGACCCAGACAAAAGTTTAAGTGATGTTCTAGTTAATCCTTCATATAAAGGTCATGCCAAATTACACTCTGCGCGCGCACACACTCCCGCCTCAGAACCTCTCAATCCACCAGGTTTACCTGAAGCATTTTGTCAGGGCTGGGCTCAATGCCAGGCGGCATGTTGCTTGGGTCAAAAGCCAACTGTTCAACCTCAGCAAAGTAATTAACTGGATTCCGGTTTAAGACCAGTTTACCAACTGGGATAAGAGGGTAGTCATTGTGAGGCCAAACCTAAAAATAATGCCATATTCACAATTACCAGACAACCAACAGAAGGAAATTAAAGTACCCATAAAAATATCAGCTTTCAAATACAATGAAGCCAATGATGATAAGTGAAAATAACATTTTTGAATCCAACAAAATGATAAGAACTTAAGGTGAGTGCATTCGTTAAAACTTTCACAACAGTAAACATTGAGTCTTTCCCTGGGCAAAAGTACATCAGCTCATCAAAATTTGTTCCCTGCTAATAACAATATATCAGGCCACCCAGATGAACTTAGTAAACTCATCAAACAGGAACTGGAAGGGAAATGCTGGTGAGCCCTCATGCACAGGCCAGGAAACTCTTAAGTGGTACCACTGTGTTTTGTATACAACTTACGAATGCTTGACCACAATTTTTTTTAATTAGTTGCAAAGACACTTAAAAAAGAAAACAGTTTAGTTGTTAACTGACTCACCTTGGTAATATCAAATGGATTAAATGGGAAAGTTTCTGCCTGTTTAAATGTCATGACCTGGATGTAAAAAGTCCAGGAGGGGTAGTTGCCTGTGGCAATGGCATTAAAAAGATCCCGGAGGCCATAGTCAGGATCTTCCTGGGCAAGTCTTGCTGCATCTTCAACAGAAAGGTTTTTGATGCCCTGGTCAGTCTACAGAATGAAAGAAAAGAAGCTCAAACTGAAACTTATTAGCAAAGTTATCAAACTTTAATCAATAATTCATTGAAGGATTATGAGTAACACCAACCAAAGACTGGATTTTCCTCGTAACAGTAATCCTACTGTTCAAAACTGATACAAGTATGAATTTATCACTAAGAAATTCTACTTGATTATCCTGATTCTTCTCAATGTCCAGGGAATCTGTCTACACATTTTATATTTAAAATTAGTCTTTCTTTCCCTTTATGTATTCTATATTATTTGAATTTTTAAAATTGTTGACAGTTTATTTTCAATTTTTCACTCATAGAGAATGCTACATTACTGTCTTCAGACAAGCTAAAACAATTTTTGCTATAAAATATACATAACAAAATTTATCTTTTAACCATTTTAAAGAGTCCAATTCAGTGGATTTCTTTGAGGACATATCTTAAAATGGAACTGTTGGGTCATATGGTAATTCTATGTTTAAATTGAGGAATTTCAAAACTGTTTTCCAGAGCGGCTGTTATTTGAATTTTTATACTCATGCTATTTTCAGATCAGAAAAAAAAATTAAAATATAATTTTTTTTTTTTTTTGTCTGTGTTGGGTCTTCGTTCCTGCACGCAGGCTTTCTCTAGTTGCGTCGAGCAGGGGCTACTCTTTGTTGCGGTGCGCAGGCTTCTCGTTGCGGTGGCTTTTCTTGTTGCGGAGCATAGGCTTTAGGTGCCCAGGCTTCAGTAGTTGCAGCATGCGGGTTCAGTAGTTGTGGCTCACAGGCTCTAGGGCACGCAGGCTTCAGTAGCTGTGGCACATGGGCTCAGCAGTTGTGGCGCACAGGCTCTAGAGCACAGGCTCAGTAGTTGTGGCGCAGGGGCTTAGTTGCTCTGCGGCATGTGGGATCTTCCCGGACCAGGGATCGAACCTGTGTCCCCTGCACTGGCAGGCAGATTCTTAACCACTGCGCCACCAGGGAAGTCCAAAATATATCTTAAAAATAAGCAAATGATTAATGAAATTAAAGGACTTTCCCTTTTTTTTTGCATGAAGTAATTTTTTAAATTCCCTGTTTTATAATAGCTCAAGTCAGTTACTGAGATTGTGCTGAGCTAGTATCCCTCCACCCCAACTGTCTTCCTTTTTTCTTTTTTTTAAGAAATCACAGAGTCACAGTTTGTAGAGCTGAAAAGAACTTCAGTACAGCCGCTCTAAAGCAGTTCTCTGAGTATGAGCAACCAACATCAGTTTTCTGACCTTCTAAACAAGCCATTAAGATCCAAAGAAGTTAAGTCACTTTCACAAGCGCTCCTATTATCATCCCATCCTGCTCTTCAACAGTTCCCACCAGTGTCTTATTCTGAAAGATCCCCAACAAGTCAGGCACCATGGAAATATTTCTTTAGCAAGTCAACTCTGGAAGGCTGGTCTATTTCTACCACAGAAATCCCAACTCTTTCTAGCCAGTGGGAAGGTTTAAACTCTTCTTACTATTAGATCTTCAGGATTAGAAAATGGAAGTCACCATCTGCAGATCACCCAGCTAATATGGTAAACTGTGCAATAATATTTCAATACCTTTCTGATTTTAACTGAATCCCCTGGGTTTAGAAAAGAATAATCTTAGGTCAGAATAATCCAGATTGATGAATCTATGTAGATCTCATGCTACCTCAGAGTCCTCTGCTGAACAGACCCATAAGGAATCCAATCTTTCCAGGACCACTGACAGCTGGGACTATTACCCAACTTTACTGTGGCAGAACTGGAGCTCAGAGAACTTTTTTTTTTTTAATAAATTTATTTATTTATTTTTGGCTGTGTTGGGTCTTCGTTTCTGTGCGAGGGCTTTCTCTAGTTGCGGCGAGCAGGGGCCAATCTTCATCGCGGTGCGCGGGCCTCTCACTATCGTGGCCTCTCTTGTTGCGGAGCACAGGCGCCAGACGCGCAGGCTCAGTAGTTGTGGCTCACGGGCCCAGTTGCTCTGCGGCATGTGAGATCCTCCCAGGCCAGGGCTCGAACCCATGTCCCCTGCATCGGCAGGCAGACTCTCAACCACTGCGCCACCGGGGAAGCCCCCCAGAGAACTTTTAATAATATACCAAGTCACAGTTATCTAGAAGAGGGAAGATTTGAGTTCAGATTGTTTTAACTACAAAGCCACAACATGCTAGCTGTCTGAGATACAATCATTTAGTTCTGCTCTAAGTGACACTGTGCTGCTCCTTTTGGCAATTACAAGCCAATGGGTCAACTGTTTCCTGCAACCGTTCCTTGCCAAAGATTATAGATCCGAGTCATAAGTATAAAGACAGGTGACAGTTTTCCTGTTTGATATACCCACATAAGTTGTTCAGATAACAATTAAAACAGGACAGAAGAAAATAGGTCTTTGGGATATCATTAAGGGGGAGCCTATATTTGTCATGCGTCCACTTCTGTCTCTGCTTATTTTAGCAGTAGTATTTGGAAACAAGTTCTTAGGCAACCAGAGGATTTTTAATAACCTTCTAGAGTTCTCTGGCAATATTACTTATTCTAACCAATGCCAAGATCATACTAAGAGAACCCTTTAAAACACCTCAGTTAATTAAAAGATTCTCAAAAACTTCCCCCAAAGTAACTGATCTGATCTGATTGTATGAAAGCACATGAAAAAAACAAATTTGGGGCGGGAGGAAAGCAGCAGCCAGGCAGGCCAGCACACCCCTCCAACCCCCCACTGCTGCCATGATGCCCAAGAGGAAGGTCAGTTCTGCAGAGGGGTCAGGGAATGAGGAGCCCAAGAGGAGATCTGCAAGGCTGTCAGCTAAACCCGCTCCTGCAAAAGTGGATATGAAGCCCAAAAAGCCAGCAGGAAAGGATAAATCTTCAGACAAAAAGTGCAAACAAAAGGCAAAAGAGGGGTTTCCCTGGTGGCGCAGTGGTTGAGAGTCCGCCTGCCGATGCAGAGGACATGGGTTCGTGCCCTGGTCGGGAAGATCCCACATGCCGCGGAGTGGCTGGGCCCGTGAGCCATGGCCGCTGAGCCTGCGCGTCTGGAGCCTGTGCTCCGCAACGGGAGAGGCCACAACAGTGAGAGGGCCGCGTACCACAAAAAAATTAAAAATAAAAAATAAATTAAAAAAATAAAAAAGGCAAAAGGGAAGCAAAGGGAAAACAGGCCAAAGTGGCTAACCAAGAGACTAAAGATGATTTACCTGCAGGAGACGGAGAAACTAAAAACGAGGAGAGCCCAGCCTCTGATGAAGCAGGAGAGAAAGAAGCCAAGACTGATTAATATCACACACCCGGTCCTATCAGTGGTCCCTGTCTCCCTTCTTGTGCAATCCAGAGGAATATTTTTATCAACTATTTTGTAAATCCAAGTTTTTTAGTAGCTTTAGAAACAGTTTTAAGAAGGAGGAAATCCCACCTCATCCCATTTTTTAAGTGTAAATGCTTTTTTTAAGAGGTGAAATCATTTGCTGGTTGTTTATTTTTTGGTACAACCAGAAAACAGTGGGATATTGAATATGGGAGGCATTGATTGTCTCAGGTGTCAGCTTAACATTCCATAAATGGGGATAGCTTTTATATCCTATAATACAAAGCATACCAAATGGCAATTTGGAGTCAGTTGTGCATTTAAACGTCTTGAACACTTTAAATTACGTCTCTTCCCATGTTGCTTTTGGTAGAATTGTTTCCTAAAGCAAACCACTCCTTGATCTTGGCTCTCCTGGTCAGAATTTTATGCACTCTGCTACATCTTTGGTCGTGGTAGTCCAGTTTTCCTAGTAACTTCATTAACATGCTATAAACAATTGAAAATTCGAGTACATAGTGTATATATGATATTAAATCGTGAATTAGTGGGACTTATGATGTAACGGCACATCAACGTTGGAAGATATTGGTACTTGATATTCCGTTAAGGAAAATTTGCCTCCAAATTTTAAGCTGGAAAGTCACTGAAATAAATGACTCTGTGTAGTTGTGATTTTGTTTAGAAAAGAATCACCACTACATGATTTTTGTAATTTTTTTGTACATACATTAAAAACTGTACAAATTGAAATGTCTGTGTACTGATCCTCAAAACAACCAATAAAATCTCAATTATGAAAAAAAAAAACAGAATTTTTGTTTTCTGACATTTGTAACTGATTTTTCTATGTGCCTTGTTCATGATATATCCTCAATAAATCCTTAAAAATGGATGGATGGGACTTCCCCTGGTGGTGCAGTGGTTAAGAATCTGCCTGCCAATGCAGGGGACATGGGTTAGATCCCTGGTCCGGGAAGATCCCACGTGCCACAGAGCAACTAAGTTGTGTGCCACAACTACTGAGCCTGCACTCTAGAGCCTGCAAGCCACAACTACTGAAGCCTGTGTGCCTAGAGCCCATGCTCCGCAACAAGACAAGCCACCGCAATGAGAAGCCCACGCACCGCAAGGAAGAGTAGCCCCTGCTCGCCGCAACTAGAGAAAGCATGCGCAGCAATGAAGACCCAACACGGCCAAAAGTAAAATAAATTAGAAAAAAAATTATATAAAAAAATAAAGTTCTATTTAAAAAAATGGATGGATGAATTAAAAAGTTAGGAGAAATGTTTTTGGAAAGATAGCATCAGATGTTGAAAATGAGAGTGAGATTGGTATTACAGATAGAAATGCCCCAATTCTGTCTTAATCCCCTCCTGAACCCCAAAACCATATATGCTCAGAACAATGTACTCAGGGCTAGGAAAGGCAAAGCAATATAACACTTTAGTGTTTGCTAACACTTGACTCTAAACTCCAACAAAGAACTCTAGGCTAAACCAGGTAGGAATTTCCTTTTACCTAGCTTGGAGACCTGTATTATCTCTCTTTTTTTTTTTAAATAAATTTATTTATTTTTGGCTGCATTGGGTCTTCATTGCTGTGAGCGGGCTTTCTCTAGTTGCGGTGAGCGGGGGCTACTCTTCGTCGGGGCGCGCGGGCTTCTCATTGTCGTGGCTTCTCTTGTTGCGGAGCACGGGCTCTAGGCGCGCAGGCTTCAGTAGTTGTGGCACGTAGGCTCAGTAGTTGTGGCGCACGGGCTTAGTTGCTCCGCAGCATGTAGGATCTTCCCGGGCCAGGGCTCGAACCCGTGTCCCCTGCATTGGCAGGCGGATTCTTAACCACTGCGCCACCAGGGAAGCCCTATCTCTTTACCTTTGATCTAAAACCTTAGATCTTCCTTCTCCAGAGAGAAAATAATATCAACGTGCACCTGCCGGCACCAAAAATATTAAACCAGAGAGCAAGCACAAAATGAGCACTTTCCCAAATATTTATGGCAGAGCTCCCAGGGTCCAGAAGAAGAAAGCTTGACTGCTGATAGTAACTGTGTGCTATTATCCTCCAGCCACATGAAGAGACCAAAGAGAGACTACACACAGTTCTTCTAATTGGGCAGCATGAGTCTATTCACTCAATCTGTGGTCAACACAACATTCATGGTCCTACTCAACCAGATCAATACTTGTCATCCTTGAGGGTAGAGGTATGGCTAACGTGGGGGAGGCCTTGATTCTTGCCCAATCCTCAGAAGAAGTAAGGATACGTGCGTGGTGGGAGCCTTCCACCACCCTGCCCAAAGGCAACATGTACCTTATAATGGAATTTGCAGTAAACAGCCTTCCCATTCGCATCAACCAGTTTGAAAGTGTGCGACCCATAACCATTCATGTGCCTGTGTCCGTCTGGGATCCCTCGGTCGCTGAACAGGAAGGAAACCTAAGGAACAGAAAAGTAAAGTGTAAAATTTTTCAGTTTAAATCAAAACATTTTGTATTTTTAAGACATTCCTAAGTTTCCATAAGAATCTCCTAATGACATGGAACATACTAGCCAAGTGCCCACAGGAAAGGTTACCATTTGTAAAAGATGACAAACAGAAGAATTTTAAAGCAGAATGATACATAAATCATTAACCTCATGGCTCAAAATTCTATAAAGAAACGTTCAAACAAATCTGAAAACCAGCCTAACTTGCTATTCAAATTTTAATTTAATAGAAAATTTGTTTGGCACTACTTTCCCCTCATTTCCCTAATACAAAGAACTTTACTCCCTACTAGAAACTTTAATCCTTAATATTGCTAAATATCAATTGATAATGATTCTAGAATCATGTAAGGTCTAGGAATGGGGAAAGATTAAGAAAATCAATCATTATAAAACTCTTCAAGGATCAAGAAATCTGAGGAAGCCTCCCAAAAAGAAAGTCAAAAACCAATTCCGATAAAATAGCCAAAACTGGAGAAAAACGTATGAGGCATAATTAAGCGTTCCATATCAGGTGATATAACATAGTGAAAAAAGAGGTGTTCCCACCTGATGCAGAGACTCAGGACGCAGGCTCCAAAAGTCCCAGACCATGTCAGGATCCTTTAGGTGCGTTTGAGGGTTTCTCTTTTGGCTGTGGATAAAGGATGGAAACTAAATGGAAAAAGAGAGAAAAAAAATCCAAAAATTAAGTTTACAGGAATTATGGTGTCTTATACATTGCTTAACGCTAGGTTTACAGATTATAATTTTGAACAATGTAATCCTAGAATTTTAAGCTGCAAAACCCTAAAATGAAATTTGCCCTCTACATGTTTCTAGGGCAAACTGCCTCTTTTTATTCATCTTCCAAGCTCTGCAAGGAAAACTGGACCATTCCCATAACATCAGTGAATCCCGAAATGCCAAACTAAGACCAATGATAATTGTTGTTATTTGACCTTATAAAAAGATATTAAATACAGAAAAAATTTTTAAAAAGGCAATCTAGCCAATCCAAATTCTCTTCTTTCTGCTTTTCCCAGGGCTCTTCCTCAAATGCCAATCTATACAGAGTATTTGAAATCAATTTAAATCAACAAATATCTGCGGAGTGCAAAATACTTCATCACCTACCAATATGGCATCCCTGATGAAGAAAATGGGGGTGTTATTTCCAACAAGATCCCAATTTCCATCCTCCGTGTAAAATTTCACTGCAAACCCTCGAGGGTCACGAACTGTGTCAGCTGAGCCCGATTCTCCAGCTAGAAGATTCAAACGAGAAAAAGGAAGCCTCCACAAGAGTACTTTGCATCCAAGAAGCCTAAAGTCATAAAGAAACACTGGGATCTATCCTTTCCAATTCATTTTCTAGAAGTAAATTAGGTATTTAAGTGCCTGGGTTATTATTTCTACTACCCACCAGCTAACTCAGACTAAAAAGTAAACAAAAGAATTAACTGAGAGAAATGAGAGAGTGTATGTAACAACAGCTGAAAAGATTATCTACTTAACATAAAAAGATAGCTTTGTTCAAACAAGTAATTTAAATTAAGGGAAGAGAATAATTATGAAGATTAAGGTAGTGAACAAAGAGAATAAGTGAGTGTCAAAATTATGAGGTTAATACTACGAAAATGAGTCAAAACATAAATTCTTATTCTTAATTTCATTTACTTTTGCATTCCACAGTATTTTAAAAATGCACAAATTCATGCAGAAACAGAATTAATCAGGCATTGTGGTGTGTTGAGATGCAGTTTGATAGCTCTAACTCTTATTAGCTCTGTAACATCAGGAAAATCACTTACTCTCTCTGAAATAGAAAGAACCCCACCTTGCAAAGGACACCTACAGACTATAAACAATGTCAGTAAAGCACCAACCATGGATGGCATAGAGTTAATTCTCAATAAAGGGCAACTGTTATCATGGCTACTGAGTAAGATTCCCACTTCATGCAACCACTTGTAGGAAAAATTCTTTCCAAATGTCACAGAATTGCAGAGGCGGCCTCTGCATAAGTATGATTTCCTAAGACCTCAACAAACAGAATTATAAGTAACTTTCTACATGTCTTAAAATATTTTTTCTACTGTAAAACCTTGCTATCATTTGAAGAAGTGCTTGTTTTCTATTGTCTGGTAAGTTTTTTCTTGAAATTAAGTTATAAATGCCCCACATAAGGTACACGGTTGAGTTAAGCAACACCAGCAATGCAAACAGACCAACTTACCAACAGTGGAGAAGCGAACTGCAATGGGCGTCCTCTTTCCAATGTGCTCAAACACCTTCGCCTTGGAGTATCTGGTAATGTCATGCGTGACCTCAAAGTAGCCAAAAGCCCCTAAGGAAAAAGACACAGAAATCCTCATCACAAGACCGTCACTCAGGCCATCAGGCCCTCAATAGGCATCTGCATGAGAGAGAAACTGTTGGCTTAGCACTGGCCTTCTGGGAGCTTCCAAGATGATGGGAGAAGGGGAGATAACCAAACACAAAATGATGAGAGCAAAATGCAAAGTCCTAGGTCACTTAGTGCTAAGTTGAGTGCTACACAGCTGGAGCCAAAGAGGAGGAGGAGATGGGTGGGATCAGAAGGAACGAGCCAAGGTTGCCACAAGGACACAGGGCCTGAGAGGCCCCTGAAGTAGAGGCAGGACCTAGGAGAGAAAGAACAGGGTGGAGAGGAGGAGAAAACACAGGGAGAGAAGGATTGAGCATGTACAAAGGTCACCACAGAGCCAAACAACAAAATGAACAGCATATCAAAATCATGAGGGAAAAGACACGCAAAAAAAGCTGGAGAAGATGGAAGAGCAAATAAAGAAATTGGGAAATCCTAACTGGGAGTCCAAGTAAGCAGTTAAAACAAAACAACTTCTTCCTTTCTATCAAGCTTTGTTTTTCCTATTGAGTTTTTAGCTTTCTTTTAAACACCACCCCCATCTTTTGTTTCTCTAATAAAAGCAAGATAAAAGCTTTACAAAAGTTTTCAACAAAAAGGAAAAATCACCACAAACCCACCACACTAACACAACCGTCATCGATTTTGCCCAGTTTATTCCAGTGTTTATCCAGTTAAGTGCACCATCTAAATCTAATTATAATTACAGTATGTCTGTGTCGGTATTTCCATATTTTTACTTCTTCACTAAACTGCAAGATGGACTAAAAGGAAGATTACTTTTATTTTCAGTAAAAAATATTTTATATATAATGTGAAATCCAGGGAAATAACCATCATTTAATTATTGACTCCTCTATTGACAGACATTTTTTCCCTTCCCCCTGGAATGGAGATTTGGCACTTCTATTAAAGGAGCTCTGATCCTTTGAGAAGTAATTTTTAACCCAGGTGTTATGAAACAGTCCTTTTACAACAAATGAACACAGTTCTCACCTGCTCCTTTGGCGTGCACGACTCTCTCAGGAATTCTCTCCCGGTCAAAGTGAGCCATTTCATCAGTGAAAACCACATCCTGAACAAGAAGGGGCCCACGGGGCCCTGCTGTAAGAATATTGAGTTTGTCTCCTATCGGATTACCCGCTCCGGTGGTCAAGACATCAGGTTTCTAAGTGAACATGAGAGGAGAAGAGTGCAAGAGAGTCAGTACAATCACACACTTAATTTCTGCTATCACAGGGCACATCGTTTTGCATTTTTTATACCTTCTACCCAAACTCTTTACATTTCCTGTGTCAAAAGTACTGAAATACTTTTGAAATACAATTGCCTGAAATTTATAGTCAGGTCACAGAAATCCTAAGAAATCTGCTCTGAGCAGCAGGAAGATGGCTAAATAACTCGCCAGCTTGCTCCACCCCTGCTCCAGCTACAGCCGCCGGGCTCCACACAGGAAACCCCAGATACGGATCCTCCCAAACAGATCATATGTGCTGAACATGGAACGTCCAAACTAATAGTGAGACGATGGTCCCCACAGAAGCTATGCCTGTAAATGCTTTCCTCAATCTTATAAACTCTTCCTGACTGCTGCAGAGGTCAAAGCGGGTCAGCCTGTACAATGCATTCATTTCTCTCAAGCAGTGTGTACCAGCTATTTGCAACATCTCTTTTCAATTCCAAAAAAAAAAAAAAAAGTCAGTGGCTTTTATTGTCACTGATAATAAACAATTATTGGTAAGATGGATTATAGTACTCATTTTCTTTTAAACTTCCTTTATTAATTTATTTTATTTATTTATTTTTGGCTGCATTGGGTCTTCGTTGCTGTGCGCAGGCTTTCTCTAGTTGCGGCAAGCAGGGGCTACTCTTCCTTGTGGTGTGCAGACCTCTCATTGCGGTGGCATCTCTTGCTGCGGAGCACGGGATCTAGGCGCACAGGCTTCACTAGTTGTGGCGCATGGGCTCAGTAGTTGTGGCTCACGGGCTCTAGAGCGCAGGCTCAGTAGTTGTGGTGCACGGGCTTAGTTGCTCCGCAGCAAGTGGGATCTTCCCGGACCAGGGCTCGAACCCGTGTCCCCTGCACTGTCAGGCGGATCCTTAACCACTGCGCCACCAGGGAAGTCTCTATAGTATTAATTTTCTAAAGATGCCAAATGTCTCTGAGATGAGATAGGCTGTTTTACGGTAATAAAGAATTCGTTTTCATCCACTCAATTCTCCCATTTCCGTTACATCAGAAGCCTCCCAGCTGTCCCTTCTCTAGAGTGAGGACAGCACTTTTAAGCCTCACATGATCCTGGGCAGCTCCCAGCTGTGGTCACACTCTGCTTTTGACTACAGCCAACTGCCTCTCCCATGACCTCCCCTGGTCACTAGGAAATCAGGGGAGATGCAGAGCTAAGCCACCTCCAACTGGGTGGGTCCAACTCCCAGCCCTGCCAATTACCAGATGTGTGGCTACTAGCAAGTTACTTAGTATTTCTGAGGTTATTTTTCATCTGAAAAATGGACAAAAAATAACTACTTCCCAGGGTTAACACATGGATTAAGAGAACTGAATGTACACAAGATAAGGCCACACACCAGGCAAATACATGTTACTGCTGTACTGGCCATGAGAAAGTGACCTGATACCAGAAACAAAGCATTTCTGGCTTTATTTTTCTAGAAACCATGACAGATGTGTAGGTATCCATCTAGACTCTCTCGCCCTATCCCCTACCCATCCGGCAACAAACCCTTCCAAACTATATGAAAGTTTACATGTCCAGTCTGCAGTTACCACCCAATCACACCACCCTCTTTTGAAGACACACATGCGCTAATAAGTGTGACACTGTATACGTGTTTAAAATCTAAACTAGAAAATGAATCAGAAAAAGAAAGAGTGAAATTGCACAACTTCACCTTTAGTTTAAACCTAAAATCTTGATTTTTCAACCTTGGCTGTCACTGGAATCACCTGGGAACTGTAAGTTTTTTTTTTAATTTATTTTATTTTATTTATTTTTGGCTGTGTTGGGTCTTCGTTGCTATGTGCAGGCTTTCTCTAGTTGGGGCGAGCGGGGGCTACTGTTCGTTGCGGTGTGCGGGCTTCTCACTGCAGTGGCTTCTCTTGCTGCGGAGCATGGGCTCTAGGCACGCAGGCTTCAGTAGTTGTGGCACGTGGGCTCAGTAGTTGTGGCACACGGTCTTAGTTGCTCCGCGGCATGTGGGATCTTCCCAGACAAGGGCTCGAACCCATGTCCTCTGCATTGGCAGGCAGATTCTTAACCACTGTGCCACCAGGGAAGCCCACCTGGAACTTTTTAAAGCACTCGGATGCCTGGCCATCCCCCCTAGAAATTACTGATATAATTAGTCTAGGTGAGGCCCGGGCATCACTGCTATTTTTTCGAGCTCTCCAGGTGATTCCTAAGTGAGGCCAAGATTAACCACCACTAACCTAAAGCTTTTGGATGGTCTACAATTAAAATTGTAAAAAGTCTGAGTAAACTAAGTCTGTCCACCCTTTACATGCTCTTTTCATCATATAATCAAGGCACTAAAGGAAACCTAAAAATGGCAGAGGGGGGGTGGAGGGGAGGAACGTCCCATAAAGGAGAAGAGTATGAGGGAGAATACCAAGCTTAGTAAAAGGAAATGTAAACAGGTCAGAGTGTCATTTACTTTTCTGCATCCCTAATACAGGAAGGAGTTGCTGCTGAGAAACAAATGAGACCACACCACAAGACCCCTCCTCATGACCAGGTCAGTGTGATAAAGTCAAGAATAAAAACCATGCCCAAAGGAGGCAGATGCAGGGCAAGCCGGAGGAGCGAATGAACGAGTGGAGAACTAAAGAATGAGATGGTTTCGCCTGGTGACACTGAATGGAATCTTCGCTTGGCAATGCTGGAACGTTGCCACCACTGGGCCTCCCTCCCCCCAACGCAGGAATCTCCTCCACAACACCCACCCCCTGGAGGAATGAAACCTGGGTTTGTAAGTTACAAATGCAGCATTTGTCATCTCTTCTTATTCCCTGGTCTAATAGATCAATTGTTCTCACTTTTAACACCTTTCCTCACACATGCTAAGGGATATGTAATTTGCTTTTAAAACAAGTGTGGCAGGGAAAGCTTCAACATGGTCAGCAAGACAGAAGGGAGGCCAGTGGGCAAAGACTAAGGAGGAAAAGATCCCCGACTTCAGGGGGTGCTTAGGGCAACATCAGATAAGAAAAACTGACTTCGAGCACAGATAAGAGTATTTACTAGATGAGAAGAAGGACTCAGTATGTTCGCTGAGATGGAGAGAGTTAACGCAATGACGCTTTACTGAAAGTGAGGGTGGAGCTGGGAAACGGACCTCGAAAGCAAATTTTTTTTAATTTATTTATTTTTTTATTTATTTTTTTTGCGGTACGCGGGCCTCTCACTGCTGTGGCCTCTCCCGTTGCGGAGCACAGGCTCTGGACGCGCAGGCTCAGCGGCCACGGCTCACGGGCCCAGCCGCTCCACGGCATGTGGGATCCTCCTGGACCGGGGCACGAACCCGTGTCCCCTGCATCGGCAGGCAGACTCTCAACCACTGCGCCACCAGGGAAGCCCTCGAAAGCAAATTTTTAAAACTCTTTTCTGAAAAAAAGCTAGCTCCATGCAGCGAGCATTGTGATCAGCCCCAGTGTAGACACAATTTGTTTTTATTTTCGTTTGAGCCAAACTTCCAGGAGTCTCAAGCATTTAGAATAATTCTGAACTTGAAGCAGAAAGCAGTGAAAAGCAGCCCTCCAGGGCTGCAAGCAATGACAAAAATGTCCTGGAATGGCAAAACTGGGAAGATGATACCTGCTTATACGAGTACAGTCCGATGAAGCCACTCCCTGCACAAGCTGAGAAGGGCAGAGGTGACGGGGTGGGGGGTGGGGGTGGATAAGGGAGGGAAGAAGAGAAAAAATGAAAAGTCTACAAACAGCAAAGGGAGCAACCATCTGGCAGCGACGATAAGAGCAACAGCGAGGCAGATTTCAGCCAGAGGCTGGGAGAGAAAGGGCTGGAGGGAAAAATAACTCAGAGCTTGTCTGCAGGTCAAGGACACAAAAAGCAGCCACAGCATACCTGGGTCCCATCAGAAGTTCAACAGTCCCAAGGTGGACCCCTCTGCAGGCTGGATGGTGAGGGGGGGCGGCGGCAGGTGGCAGGGGAGCGGGGCATGTGGATTTAGAGCAAGGGCCCCTCAGGCGACTCATCTCAACACTCACTCATTCACCAGCCAGGGTCCCTGTCCTCCCCGTCGCCACAGACCACAGAGGCTGGCAAGAAGCATCCCTGTGTCCTGCACACACAATGCTATGGGTCTGCAGTCTTGGAGGAGGGTGGACAGAGGGCTCCTGAGGGCAGTGAGTGCCAGGAAAACCATAATACAACCATGTCCTGTAGCCTGCGCCCCTGTTTTTCACAAGCATCAAACAAAAGAAACAATATCCCATGACGCAAGCTCTGGGCTTTCTCCAGGAATATGATGGAGTGTGGTTACTGCTGGTCCAAAGCTAATTAGAAAGGACAAACACAGAATCAATGCAGTTGACAGAACTGCATATGTTCTGTATATATTCCTCATTTCCCTCTGTAACTACCATTTCTCAAGCACCTGCCATACACAAGGCCTTATCCTAGCTACCTTCATTCAAGCCTCCCAAGAACCCAGTGAGATAAATGTCATTACTCCCATTTAATGGGTGATGCCACATGCTCAGAGAATTTAAGTAACTTTACACAGATTTCAACGTGGCAGCACACGCTTACCTGCAACATATAACAAGTATGGAAGGGCAAAGATGTACCTGCCTACTTGCTGATTATTGGGGGGTTTTTGTTTGTTTGTTTTTTAACTCAGTGCAAGGTCACTTTACAACTAGAATTTTTTTAAGACAGAAGAGCTTTTCTGTTGCTGGACAACAGAAAAGAGCTCCCTCTCTTTTCTAGAGAGCTCCCTCTCTAGAAAAGCAGCATCAGTACCTGTTAATGTGTTTACATCTTTCTGGCTGCCAATTCCTCATGACATTCATACATGCTTCTCCTGGACCGCTCTTCCTGCCCCGCCCATGCCACCCCATGAGCTGGGCCAAGGGCAACCTCTTGTGCCCCACAGAATAAATATTATAATTGTCTGTGTGCTTCACAG